TCATGCATAATGGCTACATATATAGATGGTTGATCTAAAGAGTCCTAGCCATAAAAGGTAACTAAATAAATTAAAATACTAATAACCTAATATAATAATACTTCCTAATAATAATATAATTATCTAACCATAAATAATGATAATAGTAATATAATAATAATGGTAAATAACTAAATATAGTCCGGTATCACTCTTCCCGCCTCGAAAACCAACTTGTCCTCAAGTTGGAAATCAAATAAAGAACGGGAAAAAAAGCATCGTTCATCGTCCATCATCCGGGGTCAAACACCTTGATCCTTGGAGCACCAAAAGAAAGAGTCATGCCAAAAACATTCCCAGTGTCAAGTAAACAAGTACAGTTCCGGGCAACGAAGAGTAGGAATATTACGCACTCACGTGCAACATCCTCAGAATTATAAAGGACAACAACGACACTTTCTGACGTCCCAAAAGTTTCCGTGCATCCATAAAAAATGACACCATCACTTGAATATTTTGCTTGGACAGTGTGTTCTCGTTGATCGTCACCAAAAACATCAACAACAACATCAACAACGGTAACAGGAACAACATCTATGGGATCAAGAATAAGATCATCATCGAGAACGCCAACAGGATCAATAAAAATTTCCTTTTCAAATTCCTGGTCTTGTAAAGTTGTGTTCTGTACAGGTACTGTAGGGGCCGGATCTCGTGGAGTGCCGATGAGTTTCCTTATAGAGCGCATCATGGATGTTTTTAAAATGTATAACTCTATAGGAATCAGGCTCGGCATAATTGGGAGGTCACGAACTAAATTCTGCATTGAGCAAAAGGTCTCTACGGTGAACACATTTACCTCGGAATCAAATTTTGGTTGACCTTCAATTTGACGGAATGCCTAAAGTTGCTTTATAATTTCATCCACGGAATCTTCAACTGCACACACGCCTTCATAAAATTCAATTTGTTCCCGTAGAACTTTTTCGAGTAAACCAAGAACTTTGTCCAACAAAGAATCCATTGCCAAAAGAAACACCACCACACAAAAATTGAATGGAATTTTGTGGCCAATTTTTTTTTTGTATAGAAGTGATAAAGCAATGCAAATTGGAAATTGAAAACGCAAATCCTCTTTGTGTGGGCCGAAGCAACAAAATTGAGGCTATGATCACCAAATATATTTTTCTTTGCCAAGCAATTATGCGCAAGAGAAAAAAACCTGATGGAGTTCTTCACAAATCAAATAACCTTGCAGCTGTCCCTTGAATTGCGGCACGACTAAGAGAAAAGAGCCCGACGGCGGCAAGTTTGATGGCAGTGACTAATCTTTTACTCTCTTTTTTTGGGTGAGATCAAGAATGAGAGCACCAATTGATACGGTATCGTATCGGGATAGGGAAGGATTAGCACCTTCGAGCTATAGAATTGGGGAAGAAACCTCAACCCTCTTTTTTTTTAATGGTGGCACCAAGGGAAAAAAAGAAACCTAAATACAAGGCTTTGCTCCTTTTTGTTTATAATCACCAGCTTCAAGATATTTTTTCCTTGGATGTTCACGACTGTAATGAAGAATTGAAGACAGGGCTAATATGATCGGTGTCAACAACTTACAGATCTGATTGGACTTTTGTTGCTGTTTTTTTGTTTGTTTTTTTTTTTTGTGTTTTTTTGTGTGGTGAGTTCAAGAATGAGAGCACCAATTGATACGGTATCGTATCGGGATAGGGAAGGATTAGCACCTTCGAGCTATAGAATTGGGGAAAAGGAAGAGATTGAGAAAGGAGAGGGG